CACCCCCCCACACCTCCCACCCCCCAACCCCTGCAGTGCTGACCCAGAGTCCTGGTAGAAGTTGAGACAATTGGGTGGAGCAGAGTGGCAGCCAAGCTGGGCCTGGCCCACTTCTGCCTTAAGGCCTCATTCACATACCACAGCAGGAAGGTCATGGTTTTCTCTGGACCGAGGACTGGAACAGCTCTGCTTTCATCCTCCTGCCCTCTGCCTGAGGTCTCATGACCTTGTACACCAGGGCAGACGTCTTGCCTAGGGTCTTAGAAGGGCATGCCTCTCTAAGCTGGGTGCCCTCAGTAAAGCTGCAAGAAGAGGCAAGTTTGCCCCTAGAGTCCCTCCCCCTCCTGAGTCCCAGATCCGCAGAACAGAGCCCAGCACCCCTGACATCTCTCCTGTGAGCCCGCTCACGTGGAACTGCTATAGAATGAGTGTGTAACAGATCCTGTACGTTACACTCAGCTTTCACCCAAACAAACACTAAAGGCAATGTTTCAGGCAGGCTTAGGGAGAGAAAGATAGAAGCATCTTTCCTGCTGCCCAGGTGGAGTCACATAGGTTGCAACCCAGAGCCCAAGGACAAGCCTAGAGGCCTGGACACTGCTGACATCTGCAGGAGGAAAGCGGCAGCAGGCTTGGTTCCAAGCGGGCTCTGATCCCTGCCATGCCTGTTGCTCATCCCACTTTAACAGATGACTAACTGCGAGCAAGCCAGTTAAACTTTCTAGGCTTCATTTGGGTGACCTGTAAGTTATCTAGACTCTAACTCAGTTTTTAAAAGAAAATTTAAAGGACCAAAGCCTAGGGTCTGATTTAGTTGATCTACAATAGTGTGTGGGGAGCGGGGGTAGGCGGTTGGTTGTAATGGGCAACCAACATGACAAAACCTAAATCCTTGCTGCTCAACATATGATCCAGGACCAGCTGCATCCACATTGCCTGGGGCATCTTAGAAAGTCTGAGAAGCTCGCTGCTCTAGGTGATGTGACTTAATTCAACCTATGCTTTGTTGTGAAGACACAGTTCTTGGCCTGGGGAGTCTGGGGAAGGCAGTGCAGATGTGGAGGCAAGAAGGGAAGACGCGAGAGAGGGGAGATGAGCGTGTGGCCCCTAGGTGTGCTGTAGGAGCCTCCATCAGCTTCGGGTGCAGCCCAGGATGA